CCCCCCCCCCCCCCCACTAAACAGAATATATTCATTGCCCGAGCTTTTAAAACCTGCCAAATCACCGTTTAATTCTGTGGGTTCACAGTGTCGCTTTAATCAGGGAAAGGTTAGGATTAATAGAAAGGTTCGAGTGTATCTCTGCACCGCCCCCCCCCGCACCCTCCCCCCTCGCCCATTCTGCGTGTGGCTGGGCAGGACTCCCGCAGATTGGCGGCACTTTAAAGAGGCAAACTGCCAGAGTGTTTACGTGCTGATTACAGCCCTGACGATGATGACTGCTAAAACCCTCCAATTACAGCTAAAAACACACAAATAAACATTTGTGGTGCCGCTGCCAAGAGCACCATCTGCTAAAGCTGGGAAAAAGGCGAAGTGGATTTTTACACTAATAGATTTCGGCCCAGCTCTGCTGGATCATCCCATGGCGGCTTTCATGGGTCCCGCCGCTGAGTTCATTAAGTTAATTGAACAGCAAATCCGTCGCATTTTAAAAGGAGTTGGCGGCTTCAGTGTTTGCGTGTACATACCTGTCACTGCTGGGCCTGTGTTTGTGTGCCTATCAGTATCATGGTAGATGTATATGCTTGAACTTACTTGAGCACTTGGTCCTTGTTTGTATGTGTGTGTGTGAGAGTCCACAATAGCATAAAAACCTGTTATTCTGATGTCGTGGAGACCATTTTTTTCAGTCCCCACAAGGGGAAATTTATTTTCATAACAATCTGTGACTGCAATCAAAAGACTAAAAATGCCTAAAGCCTTGTATTTTGTTTGGTTACTTGGTTAAAGTTGGTTATTTTAGTTAAAGTTAGGACTGGGTAGGGATTAAGGTTGTGTACACAGGACTTGTATGTGTTTGAGTATTTTCTTGAATACTTTTACCTGCCTGGATATTTATACATGAGTGCTTCCATGAGTACTTGTATCTTTTTGTATGCGTCTGTGACTACTTCCTTGAGTGCTTGCACCTGTTTCCATGTAAATATGTCCATGAGAACTAGTACCAGATTTGATGTATGTGTACTCATGAGTACTTTCTTGACTACTGTTGTTTGTGTGTGTGCATGAATACTTGTGTTAGGTGTGTCTGTTGGGAAGAGATTCTCGGCAGGCTTTCTGCCCACAACTTCTCAAGAAAATAACTGAAGTCACGACGCACCAATGAAACAACCCCCATTACCCAGAATCCCTCACTGATACAAATGTCTGTGAGTTCAGGAAGCACCCCTCAGTTCATCACCTGGCAGTTTCACATTCCTTCTAGACCCCCCCCCCCACACGAGTGGAGAGATTAAATATTAAGATGGTTACAATACAGCCATTGGTGTGTACCCCTGCCCCATCACAGAGAGGATGAGTGGCGCTGGGATCCTGCGAGGGTTTAAGGGGGGAAACAGCGACTAAACGCTTCCCAGGAATCTTGCTTCAACCTCCAGCTGCCGAATGGGCAGACAGCAAGTAAGATTTTCCTCTTTTGCAGAGAGGACGTTTGGTGCCAGCGACAGTTTTCAACACAAGCGCGCTCGTTAGCGCCCGAGCCAACCGCCACCCCCCAGATATTCCAGCCCCCGTTTGCTCTTTTTATGAGTTC